CTTAAAACCAGGCCCCTGTGCAGTTCAGCTTTCCTCCTGGCCCAACACCCCTGACAGATGTTTGGTTGCCCCTTGGGATGGGGCGCTCACTTCTGACCCAGCTATTGCTGGAGAGCTACCTAGAAAGTCCCTATTCTTCCTGAGTCCTGCACTTCACACCCATCCCTGCCCAGCCCAAGCACCTTTCTTGTCCCATATTCCACATATTTGAGAAGCACTGGTTAAGCTATCGAGGGGTACCCAGTCCTGTGCCAGGCACTGGGCACACACCCGTGAACAGGACAGGCAGCATCCCTGCTGCAGCAGGGCTCACCACCCTTAACAAGTTTCTCCCCTACAAGTTTCTCCTCCACCTCCCTGGACATGCCACCTATTGTCCAATAGGCTCTGCTTCCACCCCCACTCCCCTCTACCGGGCTCAAGAGGAAAACATCCAGCAATTCCATCAGGAATAACTGCTGAGATTCTCAAAGTCAATCCCAAGAATGTGAACAAAACTTTCAAAATGCACAATGCAGTGAGGAGGAAAAGAGTGACATTGATCACGTGGCCCCAAGTGCCATGGATCACACCCCTTAATCTTCATAACAACACCATGAGGTAGGCTTCGCTGTCCTTATTACACAGAAGGGAAGCTGGGCTCAGAGAGGTGAACTTGCTCAAGGAACACAGCAGCAAGTGGCAGAGCAGGCTCCAAACACAGGCCAGCCGTGAGACCAACGCCCCTGCGTTTCCCCTGCAGCCAAGACCTGGGATTCTACAGTGTCCTGGCCAATCGGCTGGACCCCTCGTCCCCTCGCAGTCTATGCAGTGGAGATCCCACCCTGTTCTCTCTGGGCATTTTCTCACTACAGTGAAAATCAGCAAGTTTGAGAAAAGAGAGCACAATAATGAAAGATGAATATGGCTCATCTACGACGTGAGTTTTGGTTTTGTTTTCATTCAAAATCTCTCTTATAGCTCTCAGGCATCTGAGAGTGGTGCACACAGCCACGTTCACCTCTGGTGTAAGCAGGAGTGAACTCCATCCATGTGCCAGCTGGTCCCCTCTCCTCTTTTGCTCCTGCCCACTGGGCTGTGCATTTCACCAGGGAGACACCAGAAGGGGAAAACTAGAGACACAGACTCAAAATCATCCCCACCGCCCCCAACCCATACCAGTCACCTCCTGGAAAGACAGACACACTCCATGTCCTCCCATTTCCTCTTCAGATCCTCCCTCAGAATTTCCCCAGGGTCAGAATTCCTGGCGCTGGCAGCAAAGCCAATTCCACTGGGTTCAAGGGAAAGGCTACTGCCAAGTCTTCGGTTATAGAATTTGATCCTGAAGGACACATATAGGGCTTGTCATAACCTGCCATGGGGAGTCTGGTCACCAAATCGGGGCCTCGGCAGCTTCTGGCAGCTTTGCAGGGGAGACCCATTAAATTACTCAGATGCTTCTCTTGGTTTTCCCTCCCCATGTGCAGCTTGCCTATACACACTGAGACTACTATTATTGTAATATTATTATTTTCTATCCTTTTTCCTCCTTCCATTCCAGTTTCCTCCTGTATGTTTTATCTTGTTGTGGTGCCTGTATTTTTGTGCCCCACCTCAAATTATTTTTGGAACAGGGTGAGCTCTGGACCCATAAAGGCAGCGCTTGGTGTGAGTGAAGGCGCACGGAGGAAAGAAGTCGTCCAAGGGAGAGAGGTGGAAAAGAGAGAGTGAGTGCTGGTGGATGGAGGGACTTCCGATGGGCCACAAGATCTGCAGCCACTGCAAGCGTGGTGTCCCACCCGCTCAGCCAGCCTTGATTGGCCGTCATCAGTTCAGCTTCCCGTCCTCCCTAGGTTTTCATGGTGAAGCCACCGGCAGGAACAGATGCCACCTTCGCCCCACTCCTTCTGCCTCTGTGTGACCCTGCTGTAGACACGGGCTTCCCTGGATGCCGTCACGTGGTTAGCAGCGGGCCCCCTGGACATCCACTTGTGAATCCCCAGGGGATGAGCAGAACAAGCAGCCCTGGTCTCAATATTTTTGCAACTCTTGTTAATTCTGTTCCTCTTGGAAAGTGGGGCTGTGCATTAATTCCACTTTCCCAATCAAAACCTCTTGAGTAGCTGGTGTGTTTCTCTTTTATTCCTTCCTTAACGTTTGCTAATAGCCTCTAGATTGAGTCATGTGTCCAAGGTGATTGCAAACACCATCACTTCTGATGACCCAGCCGGCCGCTTGCAGTTACCCAAATTAAGGCCAAGTGAGCATAGCACATGCTTTCGGCCTGAGCCCACATCCTCTCTGACACCTGCAGCTCTGAGGCCGAGACATGACTTGGCCAGGCGGGTGGCCAGAGCCCGAGTGCTCACCTCTGTAATCAATGAGTCTCTCACATCTGGACCGGGCTTCCACCCCTGGAGGCACGCTGCAGCTCAGCAGCGTCGTGAAGCCCCCATAGGTCTGCATTCGTACTCCTCTTAGCACCCAGGACAGAATGCCGAGGAGGACTGAGAGAAGCCCTGGGTTTTCCATATGACACCCACCCTTTCCTGCAAGTTAGTAAAGAAGCAAAGAACAAAGGGAAATAGGACCTGAAGCTCTTAAAGTCCATTTCTTTCCCTGCCCCTTGAGCTTGACCAGGAGCCAGTCTCCACTGAAGGTGTCATCCGCAGAAAAATCCTCAGACCTCTCGCCACTACTTTAGCTGGGGTATCTCTCTCTCCCTCTGTCTCTCTGTCCCTCTCTGTCTCTCTCTGTCTCTGTCTCTGTCTCTGTCTCTCTCTCTCTCTCTCTCTCTGACAGAGAAATTGTTGATGTACTTCTAAAGTGTAGAAAATATCTAAACTTGGGCCGGCCCGGTGGCACACTGCTACAGTGTGCTGCTTGGGAAGCGTGGCGGCGCTCCCGCCGAGGGTTCAGATCCCACATACAGACCGGCAGCTCACTGGCTGAGCGAGGTGCGGGAGCAACACCGAGGGTTGCGATCCCGTGGCCGGTCCCGGTCCAGTACGGGCGCGACACTGAGGGTTGCGATCCGTTGCCGGTCACGAAAAAAGACAAAAAGGAAAAAAGAAAATATCTAAACTTTACTCTGTGATTATGACACGTGTAGACCATATATTCTCATTCTTTAGAGAGGAGAGAAAGTGAGAAAGATGAGCACAGGTGAGGGGCTGGGCAACAGGAAGCCATGCAGGGGATGCGGAGAAGGAGATAGACAATGCGTCGGGGACTCAAGAAATGAATGGAAGAGGCCAGGGAACCCCAGAGAGAGAAGCGTGAGAAGATCTGTTGAATTAATGAATTGAATGCTGAAACATCTTTTTCCTAAAAGTAAGACACTAAGAGTCTGGGGGGGTAAAGGGATCCTTCACCCAACATCCCACAGCACAGCCAGGACTAGATCCCAGGTCTCCCCAAAATTTGCTCAATGAGGTGCTGGTCTTGCTTCCTCACCAGTAGTGCTCAAGCTTCTCAAGACCTGGGTCTGGTCTTTTCAGATCCTGCCCAGGAAACAGGCATGGACTGATGAGGCCTTATTTAGAAACATCCACCACTGGATTTTGCCCAACCGAGGTTCCTAGTCATGTGCCCTTCATAAGAAGCCTGGCACAGGAAACCCAGCTCTAGTTGCTGTCCTGCCTCTGACTTGCTGTGTGACCTGAAGCAAATGCCTTCCCTCTCTGGGCCCTAGAACTCCTCTGTAAGGTGTGACGAAGAGCTTCGAGATGAAGTCAGGCTGGCTTTGCTGAGTTCTCACATCAGTCCCCACCCCACACTGCCCCAGTTGCCTGGCATACCACAGGCGCTCAATAAATATTGAAATGACAAGTGTCTGGACCACTAAGGCAAACCTGGGCTAATTGGAAGGGCTCAGTAAAGCCAGAAGTCTGTGGTTTCCAGAAGGGACCAGAGCAAAGTTACGAAACTGAATGAAGTCAGATTATGTTGAGATTTCAGCTTCCCAGGATGGATGTCTTTGAGGCTGCTGGGAGCAGTAGTGATTATTTCCAGAAATGGGGCATCTGCAGGTCTGGAGGATAGAAACGGTAAAAGTAAACCCCTTGGTCTTTCCTTACGAGCACTTGAAGTCCCCAGAATTCCAGTGTGTGTTACATGCTTACCCTCGAACAAAAAGGTATAAGTCTTTGACCACCAATGGTCAGCAACTCCTGCTCTTCCCAAGTGAGCTACTGGAATTGGGGGAATGAGAAAAAGCTGCCTGGAGCGCCCTACCTTGGGGGCAGCTGCCCATCACCAGCCACAAGCCCCGCAGCTCTGGGCTACTCTCTGTTCCCCTAAATTTCCTCCCCCAGATCATCTCATCCTACCCCCGCTGCCTGGCCTTTGGACACTGGCTGAGAATGGACAATAGCGCCACCCTTAGCCCTAACCTTAGCAGTCCTCCAGCCCTGAGGGCGCGTCCCCCACCTAGGGAGATCACCCAGCCTCTGGGTCAGACCTGCAAGTTTGCATTCCAACTCCCTTCCCTTTCTCCAAATGGAAGCAAGTCTAGGTCCTGGGCACCCCCAGCCCGGTGCCTGCCCACTGTCCCCTGGTGAGGCTTATCACTTCCATTAGAAGAGAGATTCAGGGATCTCTCTTCTCCTTCCCACTGCGCCTGCTGGCACCTTCTCAGCGCCTGGTTGGATGAAGCACCCACCTCTTCAGGAGACTGCCCTTACCAAGCCAGACCTCATGGGTTCAGGCAGACTTGAACTGAAAGTGGAAGCTCAATTTAAAATGAACTTAAAGTAGGGGCTTGAGCTTGGACCTGGATTGGAAACTTAACCTCCGCTACTCACTAATCGTGTGGCAAAGACAAGTCACCTGAACCTCATTTTCCTCCTGCATAAGAAGGAACCATACACCCCACGTGTAACCCAAGGATGGAGCCGAGGGCTTTATGCACGTTTTCTCATTTACTTTTTATCATTATTGCCATTTTATGGATGAAGTGGAGATCAGGGAGATTGCTTGCCCAAGGTCAATTGGCCAGGGGATGATAGAGCCGTGACTCAGACTCGCCCCCGGAACCCTGGAAGCTCGGGGACAGCAGGACTGGGGCCTCGCCCGGCCTCGCCATCCCCGCTCCCGTGTCCCCACCCAGCGCTACCTTCCTTGGGCGCGTTGTCATCCCAGACGCTCCACATCTGCACGAAGAAGAACGGCGTCCAGCAGACGACGAAAGCCAGCACGATGATGAAAGTCATCTTGACGGTGCGGATCTTGGCCTTAGAGATGAGCTTGACACTGCTGACACGTGCCAGGGCCGCGCGCGCCCCGCCGCCGGCCGCCGCGTCCCCGGGCCCCTGGGCCGCCGCCGCCGCCGCCGC